TCAAAGAAGAAGGATCAATTTGGATCTTATAAGGGTCCATTTACGGTTTCTCGCATTACCGTTGATCCTATTTTGTTGGATAAGTTTGGACCATTGGCAATTATTTCACAGGTTATTACCTTTATAAATTTCTTATATAATATATAGAAATATTTTTCTTATGATTTCTAATTCATATTTTCTAATTATGAAGGATTCAAATGGAGAAGTGTACAGCCCAATCAAGGCTGAACAGACTGAAGTGAAAAGCCCAAAAATGGCTGCAGAGGCTGAAGTGCAAGTGAAGATGAACAACCCTATATGGGCTGTAGATGATGAAGTGAAAGTGAACAGCCCAGTGAGGGCTGTAATTTCTGACGGGTACAGCCCATAAGGGCTGCAGATGCTGAAGGGTACAACCCAATAAGGGCTGAAAAGGCTAAAGGGTACAACCCAATAAAGGCTGTAGAGCCTAAGTTATACAGCCCAATCAGGGCTGTAAAGGCTGAGATTTACAGCCAAAATAAGGCTGATAAGGCTGAAATGTTCTGCCCACTTGTGGCTGCTAATGGCTGCAAAGAAAAGATAAAAAAGAGGGAGGAGAATGAGCATTTTGGAGAAGGATCAAGTTGTTCAGAAGAGCCAATGGGCAAGAAGATAAAGATTGAATAATTTTGAAGTTTTTAATTAAGAGTTTCTGTAATTTGCTCCCAATTACATTGTTTTCCATTAATAATAATTCTGTTATCTAAGTTTTGAATGTTTGTGCTATTAAATTATTATAGATTAGATTCAGTCCTATTATTAAATCATCTATCAGTATAATCAATATATTTGAACCTCAATGAACAGTATTAAATAATTTAATAGCAGAGAATACAGCAAAACAACAACAGGTTTTATCTAATCAAAACAACAAAACAGCATATACTAATAATAAGCAAATAGGTTAATCAGATCATATCAGGCCTTTAAAAACATATAATTATGCCTTTGAAAACACAGGCACACAAGGGTCTCAGTTTTAAGGGTTTCAGGGTTTAGGGATTCAGTTGTAAGAACAAAAACCAGAATAAGCAATGTTATATAATCAAGCTTTCTAGCTGTTCAGAAGACCTATTTAAACATCCAAACACAAACAAAACCAATAGGTGTGCAACATATAACCAGGCCTTAAAAACAAATCCACAAAACCATACATAACACTTAATACAACAAAAGTTAATCACCACTTAATCATGTTTATTAGTTTATGGAAACACTAAATCATGTTGTTGTTTATTGTTTATGGTTTAGAAATTAGGGTTTAGGGTTAATTTCATTCATACAACACTATAGCAACAGGATTTTTTTTACTGTTAATAACAACAAAACAACAAAAAACAGATAACTTAATCAACAAATAACTTCATCAGATCATATCAGTTTTCTAAAAAAACAGATAACTTAATCAACAAATAACTCAATCATGCCTTTAACAATATCAGAATACATAAAAGTGTGCAACATATAATAATGCCTTTATAAACAAAAACAGATAGTCATGCCTTTAACAATATTAAAATACCAGTAACAGCCATGATATAATTATTCCCTCAAAAACATAACCAGTAATGTCAAGATAGAATGTCCATACACCAACACAATCACTAAGTTCAAAACATATCAGCTATAGTTCATAGATTTAATAGATTCAAGAATTTAAGTCAAAATCAGTAAATATCTCAGGGAATTAATGTGTTTTTAATTTCAGTAAATCAATCACATAAATCATGATAAAAACTGATCATTTATTACCACATTAACTAACATAAATAAAGAAAATCGATCAGTTTAATTGAAATAATAAAATAATAAAATAAAATATATCAAATCAATCAACATTTACTACATTAACTCCTACTAAATGTATTGATCCATTTACATAATATATAGATGACTAAATTTTTCTATATAAACCCCTTTATCCTTTATTCATTCTGTGTTTCCAAAAACAACATCCTATTGTTCTACACATTATTCTTGCATTTGTAACATCATTCTGTTGTAAAAGATACTTCCACTATAATCATTTTATTTTTACCCAAAACACAAATCATGAAGAGGCTTAGCGG